CACAGAACCGATTGTAGTTTGATAAAATTTATTTTACAAAAGGGAACATTTACAGTTCTGAAAATTTCCACAAAAATATTCGTATAGCTCTTCTCAGTATCACACAGCACAAACAGTAGTTACACTTCAAATTGCCAAGAATGTTCGATGCAAAGCGCATTCAAAAGAAGAAGCTGCTTCGGAGATTTCCCAATACTCTGAAATCTGACTAAAAACTAAAAACTTCATCCGCGACCATGAGCGCAAACACGCATGCGCCATTCGGACCGAATTATTCTCAAAATCGGATGGAAGGATGGGAACTCTCTTTCTCTCCAGCATAGCTCTTTCCGGAGAAGAAAAGACCTTTCACGTCGAAGCAAGTAATACCGCCCTTTCTGGACGAGTCTATTTGTTTTGGCAGAATGACAACCAGGGTTGCGCTTGAGACGGTCGAACTATACTAAGAAACTTATTCTCTTCCCCGTCTTACATAGTTTTCCCCCCAGCCGGCAAGAAATCTCTAATACCTTTCATTTCTTGAAATTACTGGTAGGCATATGAGGGCCGGATACGGTTGCAGTTACATATATGATCAATTACAATCTTCAACAGGTCTCCATTTGTGTTTTTCTTTGACACCATATGTAGATGAGAGGAGTAATTACGTTTGGAGGGTCGCATGTGGCCTATATTTATAACATTTTGGATTTTTTAATCTATCTGGGGCTAATCTCCTAAGCTTAGAAGAAATGAGGAGCAATAGTTTCAAAGAAATGCACAGTAGTATTATGCTTAACTGTCTTATTAAGATCAGGAAGCTTCGACAGTAAAGGATTAGTTGGACAGTAATTTATCATTTACGCTATTTGCAATAATTTCTTTGATAGAATACAAATGTGTGCGTTAATAATACTGCAATTAATTTTTAAATGAGTTTTTAAATCAACAAGTTTTCTCTAGTCCTTAAATCAGGTAGTAAATCAAAATAATGTAAAAAATCAGATCAAATAATATTCGTCGGCACTTTTACATACATTGAATGAAAAATTAAAATTGCGATCAAGTCCGATGTCAAAACTTACGGTTTTTGTCCGTAAACCGGAACTGGATTACCATTGGCAGAGGAAAACGTCTTAATAGGTGTTTGGCGCGCTTCATCTTTGGTTGCTGAGACGAGACTGACATCTGAGCCAGTGTCGCACAAAAATATTTTGTCTTTGTCTCTAATAAAAAGGCATCGAGACTCAGAGGGTAAAGCGAAAGTCGTCATTACACTTTCCCTGGAACGTACACGGTGGAACACACTTTTTGGCTTTCTCATTAAATTTGCGATGATACCAACAATGGGATAATTCGAAGCAGCCTTAGCTGAAGGGCTTCGCTTTCCGTTATAGCGGTTTTTGGAAACACTGTGTGATCGTTGTAGAGACAGTACCTCACCACGCAATTTGCAGACTTACGGACAAATTTGCAGACTTACGGACGGTTTACGGACAAAAACCATAAGTTTTGACATCGGACTTAATCGCAATTTTAATTTTTCATTCAATGTATGTAAAAGTGCGGATGAATATTATTTGATCTGATTTTTTACATTATTTTGATTTACTACCTGATTTAAGGACTAGAGAAAACTTGTTGATTTAAAAACTCATTTAAAAATTAATTGCAGTATTATTAACGCACACATTTGTACTCTATCAAAGAAATTATTGCAAATAGCGTAAATGATAAATTACTGTCCAACTAATCCTTTACTGTCGAAGCTTCCTGATCTTAATAAGACAGTTAAGCATAATACTCATCCAGTAAAGAATCTAATTCAGAATTATTAGACATATTAACTGATAAAGGCGAAGAAACTGCGCATACTTGAGTGGGTTAATTTCCAATATTCGATCGGCAATGCTGGCAGCTTTCGAAAAATCTAGCGGCTCAACCGACGCAAGGATATATTGAAAATTCAATGGCATTAGGTGAATAAACAATTCTAGTAGCAATGAATCGGATATAACGTGTTTTTCAGCACGCTTTATCATGACATGAAGCAATTCGGATGGTTTTCTGAATTCGTACACCGAAATAGTTTTTTCAATAGAATTGATGTAAAATAATTAATCCGTTTCCGAATTCCAAATGATTGCTTAGAAAAGAGTATTTTGTATGTAACTATGTAATGCAGAATTCATAAAATTCATAAATTTAACAAATACTAAACATACAAAAAATAGGAAAACTTGAATTAATTTTACCATATCTCTATGAAGAAAGCTGACGGTGTAAGTAGAAAATGGTGAACAAGTCACAGGTGAAAATTATTACTATTACCATTTTATTACGGCGTCACACACTACGGTATTCTCCAAAGGAAGAGATGCGCCGTGGAGGATTTTTAAGGGAAACTGGCTCGTATCCAGTTTAAACATGTGGAAAAACACAAAAACGCCCTATAAAGCCATATATTCCGTAACAATATCAGGCAACGGCTGTTTCGGGGGGCTCCTTTACTTGGAAATCGCAGATCCTTTGTCTCATTAAAATTTTGTCTACTGTGATTTCTATGTTTTAAAATGTTACTAAAACAAAACATAGCATTAACATTGCAAATATTTATGCCACACCTTATTACTGCTTTATGAGAGTGATAATGTTCTATTAACCCTTTGCGACACAGTGTGTCCGATCTGGACACACCTAAAAATTTTCTTCTGTACGCACAGAAAAATTTAATGAAAAAGGATTTGTAGGTTACTCTGAACCTTCTTTATTTATAGTAGATGGCAGCTCAACACAAACCAGTCCATATATTTTAGCCATGTTTAGTTTTTTTAATACCCTCATTTTTCAAAGAAATCTTCCAGATTTTTTTTTTTAGGGTATAAAAGGAATTGTTTGAAAAGAAATTTCTATGCTATTTTTTTGGCTGTATGCTAATCTCCTTATTATATATTAGTTTTAAATTTTTACCTTAAAATCTTGCCTAAAATCAAACGGCCCAGACCAGGCTCACCAATAATATAGGACAAATGAGAGTCTGTATTCTTTGTTTTTCCGCATCTCATCGGTCAGTTCATTGACAATGCTCGTTTCAGTACTCTTTTCGAAGCTCTATTCAATCAGTGTGCCACTTTGGGTACACCCACAGAATTAAAACGATAAGTGCTATCTTCACAAAATTTTACTTGTGTACTCCTCTAGGCCTGATTAGACTGCCTACCTTATTTAAAATCAAAATTCCAACTTTAAAAGGTAGCGTGCCGGAAAGGGTTAACATTTGCACCTTATCCGTTTCGCAAACTTCGCGAATCAAAGAATTTGAAACATTTCTCTTCTGTCTTCTTCTGAAGACACTTCCTCCAAGGCATAACTGTACTTTAGAGTGTCATTTGCTGCTGATGGCCACTGTTCGTATCTCGGCACAGCGTTCGTCATCCAAGACATTTTTTTGTTTGAAACATTTATTCGTGAATCTCGATCAAATTTCGTCGTACGAGAATTAGATACTTCTTTTACTTTAATTTTTATAATGAGTATAAAATTTTACTGAATATAAGTATAGTGGCCGGGGAAACGCATAAAAATATTACAATATCGCAATTTTTAAAAACTGATTTTTTTTATATTTAAAAATGCGAAAACAAATATTTGTGCCATTCGAAGCATTTTTATAACTACGTTTAGTTCTACTACCAATTCATGCGAAACTAAAGCCCAGGTTAAGACTTTTGTAGACAAGGAGTATAGTACAATAAATTAAATATTGGGTAGTTACAAATGAAAAACCCTGTTGACGATTGAAAAAAACAAGAGAATAAAAAGAGCATTGCTTAGTAAAATTAATCTCCATTACAAATGCATTTATTATCTGGCACGGTGATTTATTCCACATTCGTAAAAATCAGTTTCTGGAAGTGAAATCATCTACTACCCGATAAATTGATACTTCATTGGCAGAGCATCAAAGTAAAGTATCGTAAAAGAGTGACGATCGACTTCCTTCTTCTTTGGGATTTTAAATTCTCTATCATTAGCCTGAAGATAATTATCATTAAAAATTAAATAATAATATGATGTAAATCAGCAAAAACAGTATCAAAATTTATTAAATACCACATAAATTTACATAAATACAGTTAAGTTTGAAAACTGAAGTAACTCAGTACAGTTTGGGTTCCAGTGATTATGTTATTACTGGTAATTCGTGATAACAAAATTGCTAAAGTGTCGAAATAAAAACTGCAGTCTGTTGGGGAAATATCAGGAGAATTCGCATCCCAATTGCTGATTTCCTATATGGTTAAGACTACCGTTTGTAGTCGGGCGTTATCCTGCAGCAGCAAGCACTACATGTAATTACTCAGTCAGTTTGCCAATCATGACAAACTTCCTTAATTTTCCTATTATTGTGAAGTGCCATAGAAGAGTTATAAAGGCGCACATTTATTGTCCGAGTGATTTGTCGTACACTCTGTGATGGATCTGATCGACTAAATCCTTTAATTTACTCGAATAAATGCGAAAGGAATCGTTTCGTAGCTCCTCAGCGAAATTATCAGTTTGGGTAATTTCGCACAGGAAGGGGGGAGTCGAGGGAATCTCTCATTAGTTGTTTCTCGATTGATTGCTTTATTAACATTTTTTATTGTAGCCGTTGTAAAACAAAATTTCTCAGTTTGAGTAAGTTCTATAACTGACCTAATGTGGGTAATATTTAAGGTTTAATGCTCCTTACACAAAACATACTACAGTTGCATTACCCACGTTGAGGATGTCACATTCCATAAAAAATTACATAAACGTCAACGCTCACCTTTATCCGCAACCAGTAAAAGCCTAACGTTATTCAATGGCCATTTTATTCGGAATAATTCAATATATTTTAATTCAAACATCCAGAATTAATTTTTGGAAATATTTCTACTTCAGTGAGAAAATCTTTATGCTTTCATCGACAAGTAAAAGTAATTCTCTACCATTAGCCTGAAGATAATTATCATTAAAAATTAAATAATATGATGTAAATCAGCAAAAACAGTATCAAAATTTATTAAATACCACATAAATTTACATAAATACAGTTAAGTTTGAAAACTGAAGTAACTCAGTACAGTTTGGGTTCCAGTGATTATGTTATTACTGGTAATTTTCATTGAAATATTAATAACGGGTTACAAAATAGATGTTTACTTCTTTATAACAATTATACATATTTCAAATAAAAGCATATTAACTCTAAACCTCTTTGGCTTTGCTAATAAAGGAAGTTAAATGACAATCTGGATTTAAAAGCAACACTTGTAATTAAACATTGATAAATAAATATACAAAACCGGTAATATGACCATAAAAAGGCAAGCAACATACAGAAAGTTAACGGAATATATGCAAAATAATTCAAAATAATGAACACCGCAATCTCTTTCGATTTAATAATTACAGAAGAAATTATTTTCTTTACTGCTATTTCGAACACTGACATGAATCTTTCTAGGTGTATATGCGCATATTTAATTTAATCATGCGTACCGATATCTTCATTTATACATGTATTCAGTATTATCCAGATTGCTTCTATACGTTCACACATTGAAAAACTGAGCAAATACCACAATATTTTTTTCTCACAAGATGAAACTTTTAGAATCTCGAGCTTCCTTCATTTATCCAATTCACAGCACTGAATCAATAAATCAGACAAAAATATTATGCAATAATCACAAGGAAAAATGCACTCGCGATCTTACAATTCTAATGATCGTTCTAGTTCGAAGCATTCTTATTTTATCCATACCATTAGCCAATGAAACAAATATTTTTAACAAGAGTTCCTTAAATATGGGGGAACGAGTTTAAAAGAACGTTATAATAATATTAAATGTTTTTAAAAGGTAATCATCCAGTTGACGATTCTCCTATAAAATATTTAAAACATTCAAAATCATTCTTTATTCTTCATTGTTACTTAGAAAGACAATTAGTAAATCTTTGCTTTACTCAGCCTCAAAATATTATTACTTTTTTAGATCTGAATTAATATCTACAGCCATTAGTTAAAATATATCTTCTAGTGATATATTTCCTCAGCTAGCTCTCTCAGTTGGAATAATCTCTATTCTTGTAACCAGGATTCTATTCTTGAGGTCAGCATTATGGTATGAATCTGAAAATAATAACCACAAGTATGGTCTTTATAGACTAAACTGATGAAAGAAGTTCCAGCATAAAATAAAGTTATTTAAACATATATATTATTCTTTATTTTAATTATAAACATGCTGATACTGACGCCTAATGAAACAGCATGCAATTTACCCACATCAAACAATAAATGCTTATTTGATTATCTACAAGAAAGTAACCTTATACTCATACCCTTGTTAATAACCTTTTTTTTTCAGCTACAATAACTATTAACTTTATTAATAGTCATTGTTTCAACTAGCAATCAAACTTTCAAAAATGAATATTTAAAGTGCTATATTAGTAACAACATGCATACAAAATGTTAAACAGCAACATTATTTTGAGTTGAACAAATTTGAAAAAATATGGTAAAAGAAAACACAAATGTTCGAAGTCTTACAACCAAATATTCTCTTAGTTCTTGGCATTCTATAAAACCGATACCCTCTTAAAACATAATAATTCAGATCCATTTAAATAATATCCAATAATTCAATTTTAACAGCTATAATGCACATCAGTTTTTTAAAACCATAACAATAAATTCAAATTTATGGTATTGGTATAAGCAAGGACGTTTAACTGATAAAAGTAAAGCATATAAGGACTATCTGCCTCTAAATAAATTATACTTAAAAATTGTATTCTTCTAAGAGAATGCCTTGAGTACCACACACAAGTAAAAATGCTTAGAAAAGCAGAATGGTAACTTATGAATTTATTACCTTTTGTCAACTGCAGCTTTATACACATTTTTAAAAAGGATATTGTTTCTATTATCATCTCACTAAAAAAAGAGGTTCCTTTGCATTACATAAGTAAGTATAAAAGTAATTTTTGTTTGTTTATTAATCATTAAGCCCAGTGGAATTTCTGACTAATTAAGAGCAGCTTATTAATCGGTTACATTCCTATGATACAGAAAATATTTCACACCTATACAAGTTACAAAGCTAGATTTATTACTATGATCATAGGGATGGTAAGATGAAATGCCAAATTAGCTTTTTGTAATATTCAAAATGAAACATTTCCTATGCTAACCAATGCTCAATTAACGAGTTGACAAATTTTTAGAAATGGATGTCTGCATCAAATCGTATTTTACCAAGTTAAAATAAATTATCTCCCAATGACCATATAAATTGTATGCCTGTTAATTTGTTTACATACATTTCATGGGAGAAAAGAGAGATTTTTAAAATTTAAATTTCAGATAATTATAACAAATAGCTAGTTGAAATCAACATCAATATAATTTATCTGCAAAATTTCATTCCTCATATCGATATAATTTTTCTGCAGAATTTAAAAAATAAGTATACCTATACAAACTACAAAATATTAGATATTTTAAATAAAGAACTAAAAAATAACAATAAGTCAAATTTTAAAATTAGGCAAAATTCAGTAGTCCTGGGTTCTTTATTGCTGTTTGATCAGAAAGGTATATTAAAAAGTTAGTGCAAAAGTTCTACCCATTTTACAGATGCAAACTGTGACTGGATCACTTATATCAAACATGCCACTAAATGACTGGAATCTTAGCAATAAAAAATAAACTGACATCTCATGACTTCATTGTATGGCCTATTAGAATATACAAATATTCTGTTGTATTTCAATTAAACTTATTTCCTCAAACTATTCCAACCTTATTAATGAAACCCTCAAGGCAAATTGAAAATCACTTCAAAAATTGCAAATTTTGAAATTAAATATCCTGGTCAACTTTCGTCATATGGAAGTCAAACTTATTTTTTTTGATCATGTGTACAAAACTTCTTTAAATGTAAGTACAAGAGCTGAGAGGCTGCAAAAAAAGTTAGATTTCATTATTTGTTCAAAAAGAAATTTTTTTTAAAAATCTGACACAGCCAAAACATTTTTAACTGGAAGTATATACATGAAGAAGAAGACCAATGATTGCAAAAATAAAGGCCAGGTAAGGAGCTGTAAGCCAGGCAAAGGGGGTGGGTGGTATAACATGTATATATATATACACACAATTTTTGAAACTGCTGATTGCAATAAAAAAAGAGAGGTGCACAACTAGATGTTATAGCAGCCCCATATACAAAACTTCAATGCTCTACAGCTAATCATTTTTTAGTTATGTGAGATACATACATATGTAGAGATATCACACAAAAATCCATTTCACAATCTGTTTTTTTTTTTTGAGGGGGGAAAGAGTCCTTTATTCTGTTCGTATGTACAGACATAATGCAAAAAAAAAATAAACAAGGGGATTTGGGAACAGTCAAAATTCATATTTCCATTGAAATCTGATAACTAAACTTTTTTGCGATTACAATACTTCATTTACAAGGAAATACAAATGAGAAAGAGTAAGAAGCCACTAAATTTATGAGAGTAATTTATACATTTAGCAGTTTAAAATGGCAAACCATAAGAGGTACTTATAACACTGTTAACTGCACAAATTTGATTAAGTTAATACTGCAGATGTAGCTTGGCGTATCATTTTGTCAACTGTATGGAGAAGATGCAGTTGATAACATGTCAGCACTGTTTCGGAAATTCCAAGAGAGATACACTGTACAGATTAGTAGCATTCTAGACATCCATAAGTGGCTTCTGATCAAGTTCTGGACTGCATAATAAAAAAATGAACCACATCCAACTATCCAGAAACTAATGGAAATGTTAAAACAATGAGAAGAATGAACGAGGAATGCAAACATCCAAGTTTATCATGTTCAGTCAGCAAATTCCAACTAAATTTCTGTAAAGCTTTCTCATTATAAAAGGAAATCAATTTTTGGAACAAATTATAATAGGTGAGAATGGATATTGTAACGTAACAGCAAATGCTGAAGGAATGTGTGGCAAACTGCAGTATTGTTCCATTAATCGAAAAAGAAGATGCGTTATAAAAAAAAAATAAGTGTACGGTGGGATATCAATGTTTTAAAACATTACCAAACAATGAATTCTCATTTTGAATGTCTACAGTCAGATGGACTGAAAGAAGAATTGGCATTTAAAGTTCTAACATTTGTCATTTGAAAAGACTTTACCTCTTACCATGAAAATGCTATATCTGCTGGTGTAATCCCCCAGCAAACAATTTTGAAATTTGCTTAGGAAATATTAATTCACACGTGATATTCTGCCGATCTAGTCTCAACAGTACTTTCTCATTTAATCATTAAGGACACCTTCTCCTTCCAAACTTTCAAGTTATAGAGAGTGTGAAAACAGCATAACCAAAACTTTTTTTACTCTAAAAGACCTGTATTGGCAGAAGGTAGTCCTACAGCCAAAAGATGGCAAGAGATAATGCATAATTATAACATTCATTTTATGGCTGCTACATTCCTTTTTCAACTAAAAAATAAGTCGAATTTTTGTACACAACTAATACAAAGTTTTTTTTTTTTAAACATCAATAACAGTCAATATTTATGTTGCCAAATTTTGATTATTACCCTATTACATCTCTTACACTTAATGTACTGGAAAATCAACATTGCACGAAATAAATTTCATTTAACTTACTTCCATTCTAATCTTAGCTTTTCTTATGCCAATTTTTTACAAATTATATTAATATAAAAGCAAACTTTTGAATGCATTGTAAACAATAGTAAAATTTTTAAAGAATTATATCTGTAAAACCGATTCCCAAATGTGCGCTAACTGTTTATTTACACATCTAAAATATAGCTTTGCAAGTTTGACTATAATATCTGTAAATACATGCATGCCAATCTCAATCTGAAAGTTGGCAAAAGTTAACCTTAGACGGACATTCAATTTAAACCAATCTAAAAAACTGATGTTTTCTAGAACATCAGTTTTTAAGATTTACAACTTCAATTTCATGCTGAATTCATATTGAAGAAAAAAACGTATTTTCTAGTGGATAACTGGCATCTATAATTTCAAGCTACATTTGAAAATTTTTAAGTATATTCACCATACAATATGCACCCAATTCTTCAAGAAAAAACCTAAAAGATACATGTGCAATGCTCTTATCTTTTGAGATCACTTATTTAATGATTTGTCCTAGCCTTTTGAATAATGGTATACCAAGTTGACAAGCTAAGGGGAAAAATGTGTGTGCGGGTTGAATGCTTGAGGGAGTAAATATTCCTGCAAAGAGTGTGGCTTGTATTCCATGGAAATGTCTAAAAGAATGCTATTTTAGGGTTTTGAGAAAAAGGGGATATAATTTGAAGTAAGAATGTACTTCCAACCTGAATGTGTGCATGTGATTATGGCAAAGCCTTGAGGGCTATCTGCCTAAGGAAAGGAATGCCTTCGTGGAGGATTTTTTAAAGGGAAACTGGCTCGTATACACATTACACATGGGGAAATCCATGAAAACACCCATGCAGCTTGCCCGTTTGCAGGATTCGAACCTCGAACCGAACTACCAGTGTACAGTAACTTTACCGCTCTGCCGTTGGTGGACCTTCCAACCTGAATGAATTTGTGAAATTAGTAGTTAGATGTCTTCTCTTTCTGTAGCCATTTGAAGCCATGATTTTGAAGAGAAAATCAAAGGCTTTAGTAAATCACACTTGCTTTGGTTGAAATACGGTTCACATAGAGTTTCTTTTAGTAGTAAATATGGCTCCAGTGAAAAGAAACAAATACAGTGTTGGTTTTAAATGCAAAGCCATTCATTTCGCGACAGAAAATGGAAATTGTGCTACAGCAAAGATGTTTGTGTTGATGAAAGCTCCATACATGAGTAGAAGGAAAATGAAATCACAATAATTAATATGTCAAAGAATAAATGTGCTTCGCATAACAGAGTAACAAAATGGCTCTTCCTAAAACAAAGTGCTGCGAACTGGGTTCTAAAAAAGCGCCTGATTTAGAGACATAGTACGGTTTTATGATCCTTTCTGTGCGCTGAGAATGGGAAAACATTTCATTCTAAAATTTTGCAACATCAATTTGGCGCCTACTGGATGTTATGCCAGGAGACAGATGTCC